GAGCTCACGCGCGATCTTCTTTATTGTGTTGGGTTTTTAGACCGGTGAACAGGAAGTCTCGCGAGCGAGAGGTTGTTGTGTGCTTGGGCGCGTGTACTGTTCTTACCTACCCTACCTTTAAGTACAGTAACGAAGTATTTGTACTCCACTACTTCCCACCTCTGTATGTGCTTTGCTGTAGCCTCACCTCTGCTGCATGTTTGTACGCCTCTCTCTCTAGAGTCCAGTTGGATCTCTCCTCCCTGAGCACCAGGTTCTCCTCGGACAGCTGCAGGGTGAGCTGGGCCACCTGCAGCCGGGCCTGGTGCAGCTCGGTGTTGGTGTGGCCCTGACGGATGCCCAGCTCCCTCAGCTCCCTGCGGAGGCTCTCAGCTACATGCTCACTAGCCTCCAGACGATCCTGCAGGCCTCGAACCTCCACCAGAGCCGCCTCGTACTCCCGCTGTGGAGAGGTAAAAGGGGACAGGGAAGTGAAAACATCTCAAGATGACACCATTTAAAGCTCTCCTATTATACTATTTGTAGGCATATTATTGGTCTCAGATAGATACAAATATATAAAAAACATGTCTATGAAGTGTTTTGCTCAAAATACCAAACAGATCACCCATTCTAGCCCTGCCTCATATCCCTCTATCTCAGCCCTGTTAGAGAAGGGCTGATTCTGGGTCGTAGCTTTAAACAAAAATAAAAGAGAGGGGGTGGAGCTTATGCAGGAGAATTCGACCCAGAAACTCAGCTAAATGCTGCCGTGATCAAACACAATGTCATGATCAAAACCACATCAAGGATTATTTCTGAAACCGTATGGAGCTCAAATGCTTCTTCTCTTGCGGGTTTACCACAAGGTGAGTTCCTTTTTATTATTTCTTGCTTTTTTACACATGCTCTCTCCAGTACATGTTAGCTGTGAGTGTTAGCATGCTTGCTAATGTAAACAAAGACCATATTAATTCCAAAACACGTTGCACATTTTTTCTGATGGCAACGTTTCTGATAGGGCCGTGGGTGTAAAGCCAGCCCACATTTCCGATATTACGTCATATCGTAGCCAAATCTGGATCAGCTCCGTTGTAGCCCCGTTTTTAGAGATTTGGGTAGGGAGGAAAAGAGAGAGGGTTTGTTTTCTGACACTTGGTGAGTTCCCTGACACACCGGGGACACATATTTATGTATAAACGACATCGAAAAGTGCATTTTGCAGGATAGGTCACCCTTAAATCATTACATTCTTATCATCTGTTCCCAGAAGAAGCCTCAACCCATTACCTGAAGACACTTTCTCTTTTCCTCGTCATGTTTCATTTGACTGGACATTTTCTTCACTCTCTCCTTCAGCCTGTTAGATAAAAAGTTGTTTTTAGGCCCAGATGAAAAGAAATACAGAAACAAATGTTCATGCTAGCATGTATCTCCAACACTTGCCTTTCCAGTTCACTGGTCTCCTCTTTCTCCCTGTCATTCAAGACCTTGATGTCCTCCTCCAGCTCTTGGATCCGCTGCTCACTCTCATCTTTTTCAACCATCAGTTTACTCAGCTCTGATGTCAGATTTTCCTGACTATATTTTACATTCTTTTAATGTTGTGGAGAGAAGAGGAAAAAAATGTGTCATCAGTTATTGATAACATTCAGAAAAGGTAAACATGGGCCAGACATCTGATGGCATAAGCTGTATGTACCTTGTGATTTCCTTCTATCTTCTTCAAGATCTCACAGTTGTGTTTCATGTTGGCTCTGAGCTCTGAGATCTCCTGCTTCATTGCTTCTCTTTCGAGCTCCCAGGCCACCCTTGCTTTTCTGCTGTCCTCTTTCTGTTTCTCTGCCTCCTCTTTCGCCACGTCCAGGGCCAGATGTATATCTGCTTGTTTTTTTAAGCTTTCATCCAGCTGACCCTGTTCACAACATGTGGAAAGAGGACGGGGATATTCAAACATTTAACATGAAACGGACAATTTCAACATTAGTGGTTCCAGTCAATTGAATCACACAGTAGTGGCACTAAAGGCCCTTCTTCTTGTATTTCCTCTTAATATTTTTATAGTAGCTTTTCTGGAATATTTAAATGCAGCACAGAAGCTTTTTTGTATTTTTCCCACCTGCAGCAGCTGAGCCTTGGTGATGACCAGTAGCAGATCCTCTTCCTCTCCGTCCTCCACATCTCGCTCCTCTTCCAGAGTCTCCAGCTCCTCCAGCGGTTTGGGAGCTCTGAAGGTGAAGGGACGACTTCGGGCACACACCTTTCCCATCTTTTCTACGTATATAAACTGATACTCCACAGCACTGGGCCGGGGCAGGTAGGAAGCTGTGTCAAGGAGATACATATTATCATTAAAAAAATAAATACATTTTTTGCCAAATATTAACCAAGTCTTACAGATAAAACATTTGAGAAGTGGAGCATTCAATAAAGTTTTTGAGGTATTAGTACTTTTGTTCCTAAAATGGCAGAGCAGTAAGGTATCAGAAGTTGAACATATTTAATATCATTTTGAATGTGGTGTAACCAGCTGCAGTTGCAACAGACTTGAAACTCAGAGGAGATTGCAACTGAAACACTGCATTTCAGGCACATTTTTTAAAGTAACAATATTTAAACATCTATAGTCATATGTTTTAAGAGAGGACATTTTCAGGTTCATAGTTATATTTTGTGCTTCTACTATGAAACGTTCACATGCTTCAAAGTTCACTGCCTGTGCCGCAGCACCTCTTTTCACCCTCTGTCTGAAACCAGAGCCCAGTCTGCTCTGATTGGTTAGCTGGCCGGCTCTGTTGTGATTGGTCAACCACTTAGGCTAAGGGGCGGGACATCTCTATCACGTATAATGTTTTCTAGCCAATAGAAGCCTGAATGTTGCGTAGCGATGTCACTATCTTATGGAAGTAAACAAAGTAATCCAATCGAGGCGTTTCAGGCAGAGGGGCGTGGAAGAGAAACTCCCTCTGGAGGGGACTTTGGGACGTTAACCTTTACATTACGTTAGTCAAAACAATATAACATACTACAGGAAAGGGAAAACCCAAAAAAGCATCATAGCGCCTCTTTAAGGTTTGGATGAATTCTTACCGTAGAAAAGTGCACAGCAGTTTACGCTGGTACCTTCAGTGTAGCCTTCAGGGACAAGAGCCCACGTATATGTGTGATATTGTTTCCTTGAAGTACAGCCCACCTGTGACATGATAACAAAAACATTTGAATGCATTCCTATGACCATCCCTTGGCATTTCATTTAATTTGCAAAAATATTTTCCCTGTCAGAGTGGGGGAAGGGTGATAAAGTGGGTCGTTCACCTCAAAAATCCCTATCCAGTCAGAGCTGCTCCAGCGGTGGTCAGAGGTCAGACTGTAGTGGCACTCCACTCTGGATTGGGGGAAGTAAACTTGCCCCACATTATGAAACACCACCGTGGGCTGTTTTTCCATGGTAATAGGAAGCTGCGCTGTTTAGGAAGAAAACATGAGAGCAGGGAAATCTGATCCAGTTTCATTCTGGAGAAGACAGCTGATGAACATGATAGCAGAGTCGCATCAGGAATGCAGCATGCTCGTAACACCCGGCACTCATGACCATACAATGATTTCACAATAACAACAACAAGCTACATATACTGAGCACTGAAGTTACAACACATCATCTTAAAGTTATTAATCATAAAAAGACAGTCATTAGCCAAGTAATAGCTCAACTTAATTTATTATTTTCCATGTCTTATATTTCATTCTCAAAATCAAAAATGGTCAGATATATTTTAAATTAAGTAGTATATCAAGTAATACATTACGTAAATATGTGCGGTTAATTAAAAATACAATTAAATACAATACAATTTAATCTATTTAATGCTGCCCTTATTCACAAGATAACCAGTTAACCCTGGCTTTTGTTGTAGGTTATTTTAATTAGTTATATATTCTAAAATCAAGCACACAGAGCTTTCTAAGAACATTTTATATATGTATGCTTTCAATTGTGTTGATTTGCTAATTATTTAATTAGTGCTGTTAATGTTTCCTTACCGTATTCTGCTGAGAAGTTAATGTGATGTCCTTCTGTTGCCTCTTGAAGCATAGAGCTTTGGATCAATCTGTGGAAAGTGATGAGCTATCTGGTCCGGTGCAGGACTTTCACAACAAATCCTGAATCATGTGGACCCCCAACTAAAATTAGTGATGCTGGGTGTCTCATGGGAGATGCAGTTTGTGGGTCTATAGTTCATCACAAGGAGAAACGGGGCTGTGAACTACAACTCCCATTATAAGATATTGTTATTGGATATAGGATCTGCAGCTGTAGTTATTGCAATTTTCATAAATGGGGGAGGTGGGGAAATGGGGGCAAGATGATGAAGGCTAAACACTCTTCACAACAACTTCAGTGAACCCACGGTCCTGGAATCAGGCATAAAAGGAATGAAAACAAGGCAGAATACTTAGCCTAACAACAGACAGCAATCAGCAATATTATGCTCTTAAAGTGTGTTTTCCTGCATTTTCCTACAAACTTCTTTATGAAGCAATAATAAGCTTCATTGTTTTTAACAGTGTTTTGTGTAAAACTCATCAGCACTTTCATGTTTCAGTGATTTGGATACAGCCTATGCTAATAATACTCTGTAAATCAGTCTTTTGAGCCAGAACTGTCGCTGATTGCGTAAGAACCTTGATCTCACTTACGAACACAAGATGGCAGTGTAGTTTCAGCACAAACCCACATTCAATAGCAGTTCAGGGGAATCACAGACAAAACCAAGTCAAAAACAGAACGCTTATACATTAAGTGACAGATGGTTTGAAAACTAAACATTTACATTAGTCTATTAAACTGTCAGAATAAATGGGCAACCAGACCACACTGCACTTTTTAAAATGAGCTCACAGTGAGTGTGGCAATAACTAAAAGGTTAACACCCATCGCACCACAACCCCATGCAAACGATCAGCCTTAGTCGTCAGTAAGCCTTTATCTTTAATCTTCGTCTTCAGCAACAGAGGGAGACACATTCAGTTGAGACAAGAAATACTCACAATTGTTCACATTGTGGATACAATCGTTGTTTGAACATATAAAATACATTATTGAAATAAAAAACAATGAATAAGATATTTAAATAAAGAATACAAAAAATAGTATTGTACAGTGGTCCAGTATCAAATATTTACAACTGTACATCTACAAAATATTTTTCTGAACTTTGTAATGTTACCATGTAAATGCTACAGTGAGTATCACAATAAGAACGCTTTTATTTGTCCCACAGCGAGGTAATGTACATACAGGAAAGGGACAGTGCAGACAAGAGTAGAAGATCGACATAAGTAAAAAGGCAAGCACAAAATAAAAGCACGCTAAATAGGGGAATATAAAATAAACTACTCAGCAGTGAGGAGGAGCTGCTGTAACAGGCTACTACTCAGAGTACTTGTTTTTCTTCCTGAGGACTGCACCTATACAGCTTCATTTTCTTTGGAAACATAGGACATGAAAGACCTTGTTTATGTAATGTAAAAATGAAGGGCATAATGATAAATGTTCAACTTGGTAAATGATTGAATACCTTTTTTAAGGTAAATTCAAATACCTAATATTTGCATGGAAAGCACCGCATTGTGAAATACATTTTTTTCTTTCGACATGTTTAGTGTGTCCCAATACACAGGATACATGTCCGGACAATTTGTAATGCCTGTATTAATATATTCCTAAGAAGTTCAATGAATGCTATTGCCTGACAACAACTCCTAAACACAGCATTCTCACCAAACACTGAGCTTACACTTTGACTATAGACTTACAAGCATATACAGTACAGACAGTAGTGTTGGTTTTTTCTAACAATAAATGCCTAATACCATAGTGCTGTGCTCAGCATGCTACCTTCAGATAAACAGACAAATCAATGTTTACAGAAAAATAAAGTTTGCATATGCTGACAGTTGTGATGCCAGACGTGGGATAGTATGACGAGATCTCCTTGGAGCAGCTCAAATACAGACTGATCTGTAAGGGGAATTGTGATCCTGCCCTTCTAACACTAACCCATTGATCACATCACACACACTAAAGTCTCTATCTCAAACTTCTCCCATCCTGGTTGATTTTCAGAGGTAGTGCGCTGCTGTTGATAAGGCCCGTGTCAGCTCACAGGTTGTCCTTGTTCAGCAGTGACAACACACCAAGTTCTTCCAGCTTGGCTCTGGCTACTTCCTCCCAGCCCTTATTGGCTCGAGGGTTCCTGGGTGACGGGTGCATAATGCCCTCGACTCGGACCCTAACCCCTGCTGCTGACAAGGCTTTCCTCGCTCGCTGCTCTGCCACCCTCCCAACCCCGATCACCATGGAGACACCCAGAGCCTCCACTGCCTGGCACAGAGCAATGTCACACAGAGCGAGGAGGGCCTCCCGCTCACCTGCAGGCAGCTCAGGGGGGGTTAGATTCTTCCCACTGGCCCCGAGGAACATGAGCGGACATAGATTGTGCACAAAGCAGTGCTGGAAGAACAGTGCTGGTTCACCACACAGCTTCCTGAAGAAGCCCCAGAAACGTGCGCCGCTCACTTCCTTCTGAGTGCAGGCAAGTCCTGTGATCCGCCGCTTTGGATGCTCGTCCTGAGGATGACCCACCTCCCCTGTGATCTGCAGCCAATCCACAACTGAGCTCACCTCACCAAAGGGGACCTGTGGCCAGAAAAGTAGATATTAGTTTTTTTACCACATCATTTACTGCAGTACTTGACACTGATTTGTGTTGGTTAAAGGTAAACGGCACACCAGCAACTGGTTAGAAAAAAATTAGGAAAGTATAGTTTGAACTAGGTTTATTTAAAAAAAAAAATCTGAATTCCTAGATTAAAATCTGAGTTTTGAGATTTTAATTTGAACCCTTTTTTCCCCGCTAGGAATTCTGAATTCAAACTAAGCATTCTTAGATAAATTATTATTTAGATCTCAAAATTCTAAATGTGAATTTAGAAAAAGGGGGGGGGGGTATGTCACAATGTTAATAGTGGTATTGAGACCAAATATGTAATCATTTATTGTTAGAATCATCCTTTCAATACATGATACAGCTAATACAGATACAAAAACAAAATACCAGTAATGTGTCAAAGATCACCTGTCAGTTGCATGGTTGCGTAGAGAAAAATACAACAAGATTTAATCTTAAGAAAATTACCATGAAGTGAGCATCAGGAGAAAAAGATAAGGCAAAGACTTACAGTATAAAATGTACAGCCACGTGATTATATAATATGTATATAACATTGCACAATATATAACAAAAAAAGGGAAACCAAGCATGTAAAACAAATGAAGTGTACAGAATATACAACAAGGCACTGTGGAAGAAACCTGTCTTTGGATGGATCTGCCGCCCGAGGAGCTCCAGTGAAATGTTGTAGGAATGTTACGCTGCAAACAATCCCACTGAGCAATTCTTTAAACTAAAATCTGATAAATTACACAGATAATTCAGAAATGATTACTAATACTTGTTCGATATTTTTGTGAGCCACTTAAAGGGGCATTGCGCACTTTAAATTGTGCTACATAAGGAGCTTCGATGAAAATGACCATTTCTGACTTTTAGTCATATTTTGGCATGGGAAAGGGATTCCCTTTATTTTTTTTTTCTTTGTCTTTTATTTTAATTTTAATATTGTCTATATTGTCTATATAATTTGTATCTGTATAAGTCACTTTTGTGAGGGCAAAAAAAAACAACAACAATAAAAAGTTGGTCACAAAAAAAGGTCGAATTGTGAGATAAAAATCGGAATTGTTT